CGGGCGGGGGGGGGGGGGGGGGGTGAACGACAGGTCCCCCCTCCCCTCCCCACCGCGATGAGATCCTCGCGCCGCGGAATGCACCCGCGTCGACGCTTCGTGCGGACGAGCGCGGCGATTAGATTGCGTCGTGCGCGCGACCGCGACGCAAGTGTCTCATGTAAGTGACACTTGGGCTGCGTTCCGTTTGACGCTCACTGCACACTTATGGGGTTCAGAAAGTCAGGGTACGTCGTTTTATCCTTGTTGTTCAGCGATTGTTAAAACAAGGATAAAATGGTATCTGGGTGTATCCGGGAGTAGTTTCCGAGTAGCAACCTCCTGTTGTTTATCGAATGTTAAACAAGGACAATGATGCTCGTAAGCGTTGGAGAGTCAAATTGACTGCAGCTGTGATCGATGGGGTGTCTGGTTCATTCCGGGAAATCGACGAAAATGTCCGGTTATGGATGACTGAAATACTAGTCGGACTTCTGACTAAAGTCGGGAGTACACGGAAAGCTTTTGAGCAATGGGCGAATTAAATAATCGAATATTAGAATTATGCAGAGTGTTTTTGAGAGAGAGGGATAGAGAGAGAGAGAGTAGGTTGGATAGAGAGAAACGCCCGACTCTCTGCGATTGATTTATGTGTGTTTCACGTTGTTAAATTTATAATGTCAAATTATATACCCAATTTGAGTTATTTTTAACCTTTTTCATAGATCGCCGCTGCTTTCAATATGGCATTAATTTAACAACAGAATTAAACGATGAATTCAAGAAATGTATTAAAAAGTCAAATTTAGCTCTGTCTACAATCTAAATTTTATTTTGGAAAATTTTACTCTTAAATTTTATCCTCATTAAATAAAGGTGGAACTAAAATATTTAAATTACAAAAGGTTTTAACATTTAAGTTAAAAAAATATTTAATAATGTACAATACTAAAAATGTTAATAAGTAAAAAAAAAAACGTGAATAAAAAAAGTCCACATATTGCAGACAGATAATTAGTTTATTATTTACTAAGCGCATACGTTAATATATGTTGTTCACTTTGAAATTGAGCAATTTAACACAGAGATGGATAGATTTACATTTTGACGTGTACATATATCAAAGTTAAAAATAACATAATATTATTTAACTCAAGGAAATGAGTTACCGTAACTCCTTTGACATCGTAATCGTGTAATCTTACTTTGAATCTTAATTAAATTATGGAAATATCTAACGTGGAAAATTGAGAAGTAAATAATATTTTCCTCGTAGAGGAAAAATAGACTTTGAATATGAATGTCAAGTAGATTCGAGTAAATATATTATCATCAAACGTTGATTCAGTTCTATCTTTACGTATTTATAGTCGCTGCAAATGGGCGCAATCACTGACAAGTCAGTGGCTGTTATCGATCCCTCCGTTCCGTCTGCACATTCCACGAATTTTAATCGCAACCCTTCGGGGTGTGCCTTCGTCCGAGGGTCGAAGGGATGTTAAGCTCGACTATCAAAGGTACAAGAACCAACCCAACGGACGGAAAATAAAATCGAAATTATTACTCATGTTATCAGAAATGCGACTTCCTCGTTCGATATAACATTACGTTATCTCGGATATTAGAGTAACAGTTCTATAATTCCGTAGCGAAAAAGAGTCGCTGAGAGAAAAGTGTTCAGTATTTGTGAATGTAATCGCATAGTATAATAATTGTGATTAGGAGCTCCGTGGTTATTAATGCTATAATGTTAGCAATGATAATTATATTTGTAGTCATATTTCTACCAAAAAATATAATTACATTTTTAAATAATTTCTAAAAAGTACAACTACGTTTTTGATAAATAATATATACTTTGAAAAAATGCTAAATTTTAATGAATATTTATTTAAATAATTCTAAACAAATGTTTACTAAATATATATTTATTCGATACAAAAATAGTTAATTTCATTTAACTATAATTTTTATTACAATAAGTAAATATCTACTCAAACAAAAATATCTATTCAAACAAATATTTATTAAGAGTTAATAAACTTCTTTTTCAGTACAGTTGGCGATAAAAATAACTACAAATTGTAGTTAAAGTATAACCTGTATTTTTCCTTCAATGTGTGGAAAAAGATTCTATAATGTAAAAGATTAAAAAACTATAACTCCAAACGTGTGCAATTATTTTGATGACGTCAGAAGGATAAATTTTTGTTACAAAATTAGACTCTTTATTGGCGTGAGGAGTCAAAATAAAGTCATTTTGATTTCGTGTTAGTTTTCGTGTGTTCCCTGGGTCGGGCATGCGAGACTTCCTCGCCGCGAGCACTCGCCCTCGGTCACGCGTGTGGGCGAATCGGCGCGCGATTTCGCGGTCGCGCTGAAAAAAATGATTTACGTTCCGATCGGGCCGGGCCCGTAACGAGATACACATCGGAGCGAGATACTACTCGGAATCGCGTCGGCTGCGATCCAGCCAAAACAAAGAACCGGACCGTTCTCGATGGAGCTCGCTCGGAGTTCGGCCGGTTGGCAAGGACCCTCCTCCTCCTTTTCCACCTCGTCCTCTTCCGCCGCCGCCGCCGCTGCTGCTGCTGCTGCTTCTGCTCTTCTCTCCTCCTCCACCGCCACCGTCCTCCATAAACCGAATGCCAGACAACGAGGGCATCAGCCCCCGTGAATCACCGCCGGTCACCTTCACTTTTTATGCAACTTTGTGAATCCGACCTCGCCGCGCCGCGCCGCACCGCCTCCTCCTCCTCCTCCTCTTCCTTTCTACTTCTGTGCGTTATGAATATCCACATGCAATCGGTATCGGTCTCATTCTTTTATCAATGTATTATCGGCGCGTATGTGTAATGGGGATATAAGGATGTCGTCGCGTTATCGAGACGCTTGCCTAATCATACCTCGAACGCGAACAGTTATTGCGCATTATTAAAGCCGCTGGAAACAATGCCGCGAGGTTTTTTTTCACGATCATTGTTTTATATAATAAGTAGATATTTAAATAAATGTAATTTCTCGTTATACAATATTATGTAGAGTGATATTACAGCAATATAGTGTAATTATATACGCTGATTCTGTAACTTGCTTAGCCGAGTGGGGCATATATTATGGAACTGTTCGGAATGGATATTATTTTCAGACCTGATCGAGCAAAATTTTTTTAATGCTTCAGCAAAACTGTCCTTCCTGTTATTTATATTGGACGATCTAAAGTAAATGGAATAGATCAAAATTATCCTGGTTAGAATAAAAATAGAAACCTATTGTTTAAATTTTTCGGAGTAGAATCTTACTCTAAAGAATGAAAATTTGAGTTAGTCTTGAAAAAGAGAGAAATGGCTCAATTTTCAATTTTAAGTAAGATTTTATTCTTTAAAGAGAGATTTTATCCAAACGTTTTAGAAACTATATACATAGAACAGTTTTATTCAAGTATTTAAAGCTTTAACTAGATCTGAAAATAATTATGTAGAACGTTCAAACTGAGTTGCTAGAATGTCATAATTTTTTACAGCGGCATAGCCCCTTACGGTTAAAATGTCTGCGTAATTAATTCCCCAACGAAATTATTTTCAGCTCTGTATCTATTATAAAGATCTGTAACTTTTGTATATTTACTGTCTCTTTCTGTAAAGAATAATGAAATAATTCTGATCGCAATTATTTCATTTTTTTAAAGAAAATACAATAGAAATTTAGGGATTAATTAAATGATTTCGATCGGAAATTTATTCCGAATAATTCCACATGTCCAGTTTATTAGAAAAAAATGGGAAAGATGGACGAAAAATTCGCGGTGAACGTCGAATATAAAGCTCGAATATAATGCGATTTGCATAGATTGCACATGCATGATAGATATCACGTGTCTGTCAGTGCGGGCGGCAGTGGACGAATTCGGTATTTCAAGGGCATGCACGCGCGCTGCGAGCCACGTGTATTGTTTGCGCTAGTGATCCGAGGAATCATAAGCTATCGAGTGATGGAAAACAATGAGAGACATCGACAGAGAGGGAGAAGAAAGAAGACTTCCTCGATGAAAAGCGAAAGGAGTCACGCCGTGATACGTCACGTAGAAAAATAAATCCGAGTTGAAGGGGAAGACTGAATCATAATATCTACGTGTAGATCACTTTTTGTGCTTATTTCTGT